AAAAAAAAAAAAAAAAAAAACAAAACAAATAACTGTGCACAGACGTAGGACATAGTTAATACGCAAAGGACCTTCTCTTTTGAAGCTCTAATTTTAGTGTTGGTGTGGGAGAACTTGGGCGTGTTTGTGTTTTTTTTGTTGTTATTGTTTCGAAGTCTTGCTTTAAGTGTGTAAAGCCTGACAATACTTGTGGCTGGGGATTTAGCTCAGCGGCACAGCGCCTGCCTGGCAAGCTCAAGGTCGTGAGTTCGGTTCCCGGTACCGGAGAAAAAAAAAAAAAAAAAAAAAAAAAAAAGGCTAACAGTAGGAGACCAGGAGTGTTGGGTCTCGCAGCGCTTTCATGTATAGGTGGACCCCTTCTGCAAACCATATCATCTCAGAGAATTCATTAGTAATCACTCCATTTTAAAGATCCACAAAGCAAAAAACAAAAAAATACATAGGACAAGACTTTCCAACAAAAAAAAGTATCAAGAGCTCAGTATTACAGTTTACGCCAGCTTCCATTAATGTTTGTCTCGTCCTTGTTTTCAAATGTTACCCTATTTCAAATCTTTTTTCTCCCACGCTTTCCTTTCATGGAAGAGACAGGATTTGTGGTTAACACATTTAACCAGTGAGATTCACAAATTAATAACAAGTGTGTTTTTAAAAACTAGGTTACATCCACAACTAGATAAAATCTTAAATGTTCACTGATTTTACAGAATTATCTCAATTTTACCTTTTGGACACAGGTAGCTTTTGTTTCTCGAATTCTTCCCTAGCACCGTCTCGCACCCAACTATTTCAAAGGATGGCTCTCCCCTCCCATAATCTGAAGACAAGACCTCAGCACAAAAAGCTCTTGAATTTCTCGTCCTGTCCTCTCCCCTCGCCCTTCCAGAGACGCTAATTCACACAGAGTTCCTTTAGTGTCGTCATATTTGCCCACGCTACCACCTGCGTAAGAACCTCTTTCCTAGCCAGGTGTGGAGGCTGAGGCAGGAGGCTCACAAACTTGAGCTCAGCCTGGGCAAGTAGCTGTTTGGGGAGACTGTGTCAAAATTTAAAAAGCTGGGAGGTAGCTCACTTGCAAGGCCTGGTTTCACTCCGCGGCAGGGGTGGGGCGGGACGCGGCGGTGCCTTTCCGGCCCTCTGCGGGCGGACCGCGGCGCCGGCTCGGGCAGTCGCCTGCGCAGGCGGCCACG